TCAGCTGAGCCTTAGGATTAATTCAAGCTCAGAAATATTTCTTTGGCTCTTTACCAGCACGTAGATACACAAACTGCTGTATCTGCCTCAATGAGTCAAAGCGCTGTGGCCTCACTCCTGCTTTTCTGGACTCCACGGCAGAATTAGCCCACGAGTGCAGAAGGCCTTTGAGAGGCACAACACAGAGAGCCTTTCCCCACTCGTGCTTTTAACAAGCCATCTGCATTTGTTCACTTCACATGTCTTAAATCAAGAATGGTGGACGCCTCCAACAGGACCCACTTTACCTGGCTCTCTCCTTTCTTGTACTCTAGGGAACAATCCAGAAGGACAATGCGTGGATTCTTAATAAGGCGACGCATTCTGGGATGGGTCACATCTTTATTCACCATGATTCCCCGCAAAACACACGAGTCTTCACTAAAACCACCTGGAATCTGACAGACACAAGGAAGGGGGGAAATGGGAAGAGCCAGTTTAGTCTACAAAAACCTGTAGTTTCTCCTGAAACTGTCTCTCCCACGTACAGAAAAGGGAAAACTTCTCCCAGGTTATCATAGTGCATCCAAGTCATAATACAAATTTTAATTTTAAGAGCATGTTGACTTAAATTTCAAGTGGGAAGTTGTGGAAGAGCTTAAGAAACTTTCCACATCCTACTGCCTGGTTAACAAGTTTTTCCATCTTCCAAATGCAACTGAAATTATCTTTTTGACAAATATTCCAAAAGGGTTGAAATAACAGCCCCTGTTTGCAGTGTAAACCAGCAGGGCCGACAGCACTGACTGAAATATCTTAGAGGGTGGTTATGTCTGCAGACTGCAGAGAGGTAACACAAAATTCTTCCCACTGCACCCTACAGTCAGCTAGTTCAGAATAAGAAAGGCACACAGGGATAAGAAACAGTTCAGGACACACTCACCTTTTCTACTTTTGCATATTTTTTAATATCAATTTCCCTTCTGCCATTCTCTTCAAACTCCACGGTCTTAACGGCATCAAGAGCGATGCTACAGGCCAAGTCAGACCAGCGGTTTATTGCCTTGGTGTTTATCGCACTCTTTATTATTTTAAGCATCATCTCTTTGTTGTTCACATCCACTGGAGTGCTGGGACGAGGAAAAACCAAAGAGCAAACTGAGTATTACTCCAAGCTGTTTGTCCCTTTGAGTCCCTCTCCAGTTAAGTTATATTCTAACATAACTGGCTGAAGCAGCAGCTTGAAGCAGCACAGAAAGCCCACATCCCCCTTTTCTAACTCCCACCAGCCCATACTTACCCAATTTTCTTCAGAATACTGATCATGTCGTCCAGAGCCTTACGATAAGCCCAGATGATCACAGTTGGGTGCATCTGCTGTTCAAGGAAGTGTTCAGCAACAGACAGCATCTCTCCGGCTTAAAAAAAAAACAAAAATCAAAAATAAATCAAAACCCCCCATATAAATTAGGAGGATAATCGCCACTCAAGACAGACGAGCAGCATACCAGAGATAAAAGGTATCTTCTATCAAAGCAAGGAGCTGATCACCTAAGGGTCTCATGAACAAAGCATGCTCTTGCACAGTGAAAAAAAAAAAATTCCATTTTAAAGTTAGTAAATAACTCATTATGGGTCCTGATGAGCAAAGAGGGCCAACTCCAGCCTTTATACAAACTGTGTCTGAGCCAGCCTCCTTACCAAGGATAATGACAGATGTGGTCCCATCCCCAACTTCTTCATCCTGCGTGCGGCTGATCTCTATCATTGATTTTGCAGCTGGATGCTGGACTTGGATCTGTGCAGAAGCAAGGGATATGGATTTGTTCCAGAATACTAAAGCAGAAACATCTTGCCTTGCTCAGTGGAACAAATACCTTTCATACAGCTAAAGGCATTCTGCAAAACCACAGCAAAGCTCTTCCTTCTTTTCTGACCAAAACCAAGCCCTTTTATTTGACAATGTTGTGCTTCTCTCAGTTTTTCAGGCATTAGAGTTTTTTTGATGTTCTTTTAACAGTACTTGCACCAGAGAGACAATAAAAATTTCTTGGTATCATTATGTGGCATTGTGAACATCACTGTCTGCTCAGAAGGTCTTGATGCAACTGATTACAGCTACAATTACCAAAGCATTTACATCAGTCTTCCCATCTTCCCATCCCAGGATCAAACCTCCATTTCTGCGGAACAAGGGCATTTTCTGGGAATGTTTCATTCCTCCCCAGGGAGCACCTTTCTTGGTGGAGCTCACTAGTACTTGCTGGCCCTCAGGACAGATGAGATCATACAGCTCTACTGGCACTCAAGACTCCAGAATATTCCCACTCACGTGTTAAGCGAGACAATCCTTCAGGAGAAACTTACTTCTCTAAGAATAGCATTGCCATCGTTGGTCATCACAATGCCACCCATGGGGTCCAAAAGCATCTGCAACCACAAGAAAACAAACACTTGTGCTGCAACACCGATGATGCAGCTGCCTGGAAACACCCCACGTGGGACAGAACAGCACAGGTTCTCACCTTCATCATAGCTCTTGGTCCTAAACATGTTCGGATGATGTCAGCAATGGTCTAGGGGAAACCAAAGAAATGAAGTAATGAATTAATGAAGTAATGAATACAGGCAAGTATTATTATTATAGTGCACCTCTTACATGAACAGTGCAGATGGTTTATTTTTTATACAGAATTTTTATGTAACGGTATAAAAATATCTTCTGTTAACACAGGAAATTATTTTCTATGTAGCTTCTTCTATTCTGGGTTCATATAGACTAGAGAAAATATGCTTCAGATCCAGCTTTGCCTCAGAAATAAACACACACATGGAGAAAATAAAAATAATAATCAAAACAGCCTGACAGGAGAATTTGGTACCTTCGCAGCAGTGATGTTTCCTGTCTGGACTTTTCTTCCAGACTCACGTTTTGTGTTCTGACCTAAAGCACACAGAAAAAATAGATTTAATCAAGTACAATGAAGTACAATACAGCAAGGATACAGCCACACCTCTCAGCCACACACATCTGACATGTGACCAGTTCTAAATTCAGAGTTTACACTATAAATACTGCAGTCATTATGAGAAACACACTGACAGAAGAGTGTCAGTGAAAAACACTCCCTATTATAACAGAACTTCTTGTGAGCATCCTAACTGAGACGAAGCTTTGCAACCCTGAACCAGAAACCTACTGCCCCATAAAAATCAAACTGCAGGGACTCACTAGGATCTGCCTGGTCCCACATGACTGGGGAGATGCTGCTGCACAGCACTGTTCAGTCACAAAAAGTTACAGAAGCTCAGGCACAGTTTAAAGAACCGGGTGAACATGAAGTTAATCTGTCTGCATTGCCTTTGGCACATGAGGGTGAGCAGCCCCTGGGGTGCCACAGGCTCACAATCACAGCTGGGGACCAGCTGTCAACAGGCTCTGCCCCAGAGCATCTTTAGGCTCAAGGCTGCTCTTCTGCTATTACAAGCCTGGCCCAGGTATGCACAGATTTACTCAAGAGTAGGTCATCCACATGGAGAGGTGCAAGATAGAACAAAAGGGGCCCTGGGCTCCAACAGCCTGCCTGTTAGGTTAATAGGAAATGGAATGGAATGGATGAAGAGATGGGAATGCAATACCCAAGGAGAAAGAAATCCTTGTGTTGGAGACTGGTGAGAGAATCATAAAATGGTTTGGGTTGCCCAGGGAAGAATTTCTTCCCAATATCCCATTTAACCCTACCCTCTGG